GAACCCTGCCCCCACGGGCAATGCAAACAAACTGCGCGAGCGCAGTTTGTGGCCAGCTCAAGTAGCTGCTTCAACGCGCTACTCAAATTGCGCAGGGGTTTTTTTGAGTTGCGAGTTCTTCTCAATTTCCTGCTGCAGTTTCTCATCAGTTTGGCGGACACGTGCGTGCTACTCTCGTTGGACTGACGACGCACTACTGCCAAGCCTTTCTTCGTGGAATCGTTCGGAATCTGTCAGGTATGAAAGGAATCGGGCCGGCGCTCGCGTCCAAGACTATGACGAACTGCTTTTTACTGACATGTTAAAACCTGGAGGCTGATTTGGTCACAGTTGATGTGGACATACCGCTCTCGACCTCATTCAAGGACAGAGGCGGCTTCACGGGGCAATTGCGGCCAAAAATGTTTTTCGTGATTTTCACTCATCTTCCGTATTTGAGCGGCTTTTTCACGGCTCTGCACGGCTATATTCTTGGACGGGCGGCCTACTTGCTATGTATTTGGCGAACTTAAAGCGACTTGCTAAGCCACTTGCAAGTTGCCTAACTTCTGTTAGTAAGTCCGCTAAGTCTGACTTAGCGGGCTAAGCCCAGCGGGCGAGTCAGAGGACTTAGCTAACTACTTAGAACCACTCAGCAAAACATTTGTCTCCAATGCATAGTGGTCAAGCACCTGACCCCAATCTTCGGCAGTTTTCCTTCACGAATAAAATCGTCAAACCGCGCGCAAGACTACAAACCACTACAGACTGAACTTAAGGTTAAGCATTGTTAGGAAGATGCATAAATGTCTTTGCGAGAGCACACCTTGACCGCCTTCCGGCCATGGAATTCCCGTACGCCCAGCGCGTCATCATTGTCAGACGCAGTTAGTTTTCCTTGCCGCAGAATGGCACGGTGTGCGCTCCCAGCAAGTGCCATGAAGAACCGGGCGCAAATGAACACCAACGCCAGTGCCAGATTGACCAGCTGCGTCAGCGCAGCCAGCAGGGGCTGCTGCCACTGCTCCAAGTGCTGAGAGTCATTGTGACAATAATCGAACTCTCTATGTGGCCGGAGCTGATCCCATCCTCGATTGGGAAGTAACTGCATTCGCCCAGGGAGTTGCACACGCCATGTGCGTGCGCCCAATCCCGCATAATCATTTTGACCAGAAATCTTTGGCCATCGGCGCGGGGCTCTGCCCACAATCACCTTGGCCCATTGTGCTTGAGACGTCAACCTCCGCGCGCTTCTCAAATGCCTTCATAGGGCCGCTCAGTTGCAGGATGCGCAATATAAAGGGGCAATGTCTCTTGCCTGTGAGATTCTGATCTTTGCCCTCAAATGCTCCAAGCCCATGAATAGGGCCGTGAGCGGAAATAGCCTATTGTGCCCCATGCCCTGCTGCCGCTGACGACGCACAGGCCTCGCCGGTTTTGGTTGCCCTCCAATCTCAACAACTCGCTCACCAAATCCAAAATGAAACCTGAAGTTCGCCAAAGCTCTTGCGCTTCAGCGGTCTGGCTTTGAATGCGCATAGACCCTGGAGAGCCTGGAGCACCAGGGTTTGTGGACAAGAGAAACGACGCAGCTCTTCGTCCAGTTTCATCTATGATAAACCGCAGGTCGCGGATGCCTTGCCTGAGAACCATATCATCACACATCTTCTGAATGATATGCTGCTAGGCAGTGTGCCAGCTCATCAGCGCCCGGCCCGTGAATGTCCGTGGCAGAAAAGCAGGAGGAGCTGCGGTCACGCACATCACTAGGACTGAAAAAGTTTTGCGAAGGCAAACAATTTTCTAGGAACACGGCGCGGGAAGAACGTCTCAAAACGCGCAAGGTTTTACTGAAAAGAAGTTTCCCCGGCGCTAAAAACGCATAAAAATCATGTCCTTCACGACCAGCCAGTGTTTGCGTGCCATGTTCCAAGTTGTGAAGTCACGGGCCCCAGGCAACAACCGTCGGCGCGCGTTCCAAGGAGTAAATATCCGCGAGCTGCTCTACGCTGACGGCGCACAGCTGGTTGCCAAAAATTCGAAGCAGGCGCAGAAAGTGTCGCGTGTTATTAAGCAAGAGTCTGAACACCTACATGTACGGCCCAATACAAACAAGTGCTCTTTCATGGCCTTCAGTTCCAGAGGCAGAATTTGCTTCGCAAATTGCGAGGGTATGACAAAGTCGACGAATCCAACACCTAGGCGTGCTCATCTGAACATCGAGTTCCAAAATTTCAGAAACCATGCCGACGCCTAATCTGCGACGCAGCCAAAAATGGAATCTTGCCGCGCGCAACGCTATGGTTGTGAGTAAAGTCCTGCGCGGGCTGGAAATCTCGGAGCCCGCCGACCATGTGGCTCTCACTTTAAACACGTTTCAATTGAAGGGTCTGCGCCAATCTTTCTATCTCCACGCCACTTTCACCCAAAGGAAGAACATACATGAGTACGCTTATCAAAAAGCCAAGGAGACCGCGGATGCCCCGACAGTGGGACTTGACAGAAAATCAAATTGGTAACG